AAATTTCCTTTAAATTCATCTTGCTCACTAACATCCATAGTTCTTTCACTGTCTTTCTAAAATGCCATGTCTCATGTCACAAACACCGAGTTATTCTCTTATGACCAAAGAGATTTCTTATCTCTTAGCAGGCTCGTAGATTTCGGTGTGACAGCTACCTTACAGCAAGGTGTAAGATATATTAGAACGCTATGTGTGATACTACAGTATCACAAGTAGAAACTTAAGTTTTGTTACCACAGGACTTAGTATTCCAGAGTGTTGTAGATATCATTATGAAAATTTGTTTGCTAGTATACAATCTAATTCTGAGTGATGCTCCTCTTTTAAATGCTCTTGAGTTCAATGAGTGCTATTGCTATGTGTGTTCTGCTAAAGTAGTATTTAATATCTAACTAATCAAGATAAGTATCCAGAAGTGCTGGCGATTCAGACAGCTGATATTTTCTACTATAGGACAGATTTTTTTGTAAAATATCTTGAAAAGTGCTTTTGTTGCCATATTAAAACTGTTGTTCTTCAAAAGAGCATGAACAACTTCAGAGCTGCAGAGCACCTCCCCGTATTTACTATAGTATTTCAGATGTATATATTTGATTGAAAAGATTAATAGCTCTTTATTGGCTCACTGTTTCTGAAGAAACATAACAGCATCCATTTACATTGCAGGAGTTAATAAATGATGGTAAATTCCTTGGGGTGTTATCAAACTCTGTGAATTTGTGTATCTGATCAAATATTTATTAGCTGCAGTCTCTTCCTATACTGATTTTTCCCTTCATTTATTGCTTTAGGCCTTACTGTGCAATACTAAGGTGATACTCATGGGTATATGCCCCCAGAAGAAAGACACTCATTATGAAATATCTAACTTCAAAACCACAAGCTGCCTGAATTTTGTTTTTTTCCTTTTAATAAACTGCCACAACATTTAATTATCTTTTCTAGCTTGTTTCTTTGACCTGTTTTAAACTAACCAGAAACAAAATTTTATTATCTCAGCTGATAATAGATATTTAATTTCCATTGGTTATCTTGAACTTTTTACACTTGTTTTCAAGCTTATTGCTGTGTATTTGCTATATACAGCAAATGATTACTACAGAAAGTGATTGGACATCAGTATTTACTGTGTTAGAGCTTTGCTCTGTATGATTTTTCTTGTCTATAAACCCGTTATATATGCAACTGAGCTAGCCTGAAATTTTGGAACCAGAAAATGTGTCAGTAACACTTGTGGGAGACTGATAGCTGAATAAAAATGAAATGCTAATGAAAAGAAGGAAATGTATGCAAAATTCCTGATGACTATTTCAATGTTGTGTCACCATTAAGACTTCTGCATGTGATTCTTCGTTTTGTTGAATTTAACACAGACAAAGCAGTCTGGGCTACTGACCCAGCTACACGATGTTGACCGTATTACAGGACTGGTGCATGTTTCATTTTCTCCCATGGCAAGTTCTTCAGCATATTTGAATAAAGAATAACTTCCTGATGGTGACAGAGATAGCCTAGAGATAGTGTAAACAGCTAGTCTGAACTCTTTCTACAAAATCCATTTCCGAGTTATGTTTACTATGTTAAGTTAGATTCATAGGATATAGAATTATCTTGTCTGTGATTGAAAATGCTTTGCAGCTGGATGTTCCTTCTCTGAACACTGCACAGCAAATTGTCAAGATCCCACTTGTACTTTAGTCAAGATCTCTTTCTTAATTTGAAGACTAGAAACATCTGTGTATCTAATTTGAAATGTATTGAAAGAAAAATTATGTAGTTTGCTCAGGAAAATATCACATATTTGGGTTTTCTGCTTGTCTGGAGGAGCACAAGAAGCTTTGGGGAAACATATTTTCAATAGTCTCATCATAAGAAACAACATGAGGCACTACCTTCTCACTGCATTCTCACTAACGTCTCTCATAAATTTCTCATTTACCTCAGTAGATGTAGGCCAACATAGCCAACGTGGAGACATTGTATAAATAATACTCTTTATCATATCCTATATTCTCTAACATGTAGAGATCTTCAGAACTAAATCAGATTGCAATACTGCAAAATGCAAACAAATGCACACAGACAGAATAATGCTAAATTATGCATTTCATCAAGGCTCTCAGGAGAGTGAAAAGTCATAGACTTGTGAGATCCATATATTTATTTAGGTTCATACACTAGGTCAAGAAGTGCCTATGCTGAGCCCTAGGCATCCTTGGCAATTACATAAAAACATAGGAAACATGAAGAATGAGCACCCTGCAGCAATCTCTGCCAGGCACAGCACTGTGTATTGGACCTTGCAGCAACAGGAAATTAAGAGAAACCACAGTTCTCTCATTTTCTTTCTCCCCGAGTATCCTTGCAAAGTGAAACTTGAAAGCAGGAGCACATGAAGCACATAATATTATTGTTTGGTTGTTTAATTCATCAGATTTTCTTTGCACAAGATAGGCATCTCCTCCTCTGAGCAAATCTAAACTCGCGTGAAATGTGAGAAGTACTGTTTTCCATTTAATTTGCTATGTTTGCTAATAGTGAACAAGAAAAACACGAGTACTGACTAACATTTTTTTAGATTCAAAAATAATGTTTCACTTGATATGCTATCTGTTTTTTTCTTGTAAAATCAATCAAACACACATATGGACAATGTATGTAGCTAGCAGAAATTTAACATATCTAGAATACAAATTAAACCTATTTGGAGAGACCTATAATTGCTACTATAAAAATATTCATTCTTGTGTTGTTCCTCTAGCTTGGCCCTGGACACAGCTATAGATGGGGCAATGTTTGGATTTTAAGTTGTACTGTATAAAGGAAGCAGTGTCAATGTATTAAGTGGTAGTGTTGCAGATTCTGCTGAATTTTGAAATTATTTAGTCCCAGTGAAATCAGTGAAGTTTCATCCACAGTATTAGCCAGATATCTAGTTTTGATTCTTTGTTTTTTAAAGTCAATAAATAGATTGATCGTATCTTTAAGTAACCTGATTTGGATTTTCTTTGGAGAATGGTTCTATTTTATCAGTTAACTAAAGTTTGAATTTTATACACAGCAGAATATTTTGTCCTGGACAGTGCTGAGCCTTTTCAATTGTTTATTCATTCATTTCACATTCTCAGAGTGGCATGAGGGAACCATGCGATCATTAATGTAAGTGTATGAGGTTGAGTCAAAAAAATGCATATTTTTAGTTTTTTTTATTCTAAAGTCAGTCAAGTTTGGGTTTTCATGTGCACTTGGAAAAAGGCGACTGCTGTGCTTCAAAGGTGTCTGTTAAGATGATGATTACTTTTTGCTTTGTTTTGTTTTTGTCTAAATACCTGTTTTTGAAATTTACATAAAATTATATTCACAGTTTTGAATATTATCACCACCAGCTTAGAGCAGTTAAATGTAGAGATTTGTTACAAAAATATTCAGATTTAAGCATTTAATGGGAATGGAAATATGAGCACCACAAGAAACAACAGAAAGGTTAAAAAAAAAAAATAGTGTATGTCAATAACATAAATAAGCTGACTGATAGCATTATGACCAATAAACGTCAAGGAATTCACTTTTTGCAACAAGACTAGAAAGCTTCTGCTTCAGTAATGTCATACCAGAGATAAACTGTCACTGAGAAATCTCTGATAACAGCAAAAATAGACACATGGTTGCAGCCCATTGCATGGATCCATCCTTCTTGTTATCCCAGGAAGAAGACAGACTATTCATAAAGACACCTAAAATAAGAATACAATAGCATTAGACCATACCGTGGCCTCAAAACAATAGAGATTGAAGTCATCAAGATACTGAGGCCAAAGAACGTAACTGTTTGACTTGTAAAAAGATTTAAATGCTATTAAAAAAAAAAAAAAATTGTTCTCAAAAATCAAGAGAAACAACAGAGGTGTAGCAAAGTCTTAATATCAACCACCATTTGTCCTGCATTCAAGGGATCTTGGCCAGACCACAAATACACACCCGTTATGGTCCTTATAAGTATGGAAATGAGAGAATGTGAGAGTGAAACTCAAGAGAATGAGTGAATGACTAGAATAAATTTTGTTTAAAATAAATGTCATTTTTCTTTTCCATAAGTTTTTATGCTGTTTTCTTATGTTAGATTCCTAAAAAGGCAGGCACATTTGGGTTCCAGAGAGCTGTTTCTATTTTTTGAAGTTTGTTATACTTCAGTGTAAGCCAAATTTGATTCAATTGTCCTTATTTTCTTTATTTCTGTGAAGATTTCAGAGTGTTTTGCTTTACTTGGTCCACAAGACTGATGGATGATAGCTAAATATTTTTCTCCACCTGTCTTCATTTGGCACTGTGTCTAAAGGCAGATTACTTAAGGACTTAGAGGAAGATTTTCTCAGGCAGACATAGCAGTGACGTATCTAACTCAGTGGAGAAATCTACATTCTGTACGACAGAAATTGGTGAACACTTGCTTTTCCACAGGGAAAATGCAAATAAATATATTTTGTTTTTATTTTGCAATATGAATCCACATTTCTAATGAATGTAATGCTGTAACTTCTGCAAAAATGTTTTCATATTGAAAACTTACATTTATCTAAGACAAAACATGATGAGGAAGGAAAGTAGCATTGGTGATTGTAAATGGTTAATATGGGGAAACACAAAGATCTCTCAGATCAAGCATTGTTTACCACATTGATTTACAAGCATAATTATAGTACCCTTTGCTATTTTCAGGCTTATATCTCATCTTACATACGCTTAACTATCTAAATGAAAGCACCAATTACTACATCATATGAATAGTAATAGTAACATAGTATTTTGTATAGAGTTGTATTTTGATTATTCATTAATGTTGTAATTAATTTCAAATAATTTTTAATCTCATTTGACTTCCTCTTGGGGGGCATTTTTGAGAGAAAATCAGTAATAAATTCCAATTTGTTTGCTGGGCCTGCCAAGGAAGAAAAAAAGTGCTGGAGGAAGATAACAGAGTTCATTCATGTTTTCTTCCCAGATCACATTTTACTGAATTGGTGAAAATGAAACAGGAAGGTAAGATACTGGATGGTGCCTCTGGCCACTGCGCTCCAAAATACAGGGTGACAGGTAATTTGGAAGGTACAGAAATGACCATTAACTTTCCATCCATCTCTCATTAGTTTAACAGAATCTCTTCAATGGTTGCTTTTCATCCCATTTCTGGAAACATTCCTAGAAGAAAACAGCCCCGCAAAAGACCAGTATTGATTCAGTATCATTTGCATTGTTCTGTCAGCAGAAAATAAATGGAGAGCTGAGCTAAGAGATTATATCCTTCATTGACTGAAGTTTCACCCAGATATGTTGGATGTGTAACAGTTCTGGCAAATCCCTCTCTCTGGTGGTGAAAACAAGTTCTCAAACAGTTTTGGTTAGAGGCTAGTTAAATCACTAGTTAGAGCATAGTGGAATATCAGGAGTATGAGATGACTTACTTTATTTGAGTTCCTTTCCTATATGGAATTTAGATCTAGGATCCTTCCCTCAATCCTTCTTAGGCACCACAGATCCGCAAAATTTTGATAATGATAGTGGGCTGACAAAGACCTGTCAAAGCAGGTGAGACAATTCAGTAACTTTTGTTTACAGTAGAAGCAAACTTTATGGCATTACAGAAAAAACTTACTATAGCTGGTAGAGCAAGGTGTAGTTTCAAATAAAGATTGAATTGTTGACGATATTACAGGTCTTGAAATAAAGTTAAGAAAATGTGCATAAAGCCTCAGTGTGGAGTAATATATGAGATGTCCTGGTTCTTTGTTTTTTGTGGTATGGCTTTTTTGTTTGTTTTTTACATTGAGAGATTCTTATGGTTTCTATTCAATTGCATTTTATTTTAATTATGTAAGTTCTACATTGGTCTTTCTGGTGGAGAGTTGAAAGCTTCTTCCTTGGCAACGTATGGCTAACTGAGTAATTCTGGATGAGCCACATGACACAGTGGAAGGCTGTGTAGCAGCAGCTTCAGTGTCGTTTATACCTCAAAAAGAAGACATCATTATAACATACTGTTCCCAGCAAGCTAAGTACACTGAGTAAAGCAGCACAGAGTCATCATGATTATGCTATTTTTTAAAACAGAGGCTACTGTGTGCAATTTATGTATACTTTAAATGCAGTACCATAGTTCCAGCCCAACTCTCTATTGTTAGGCACAATCTGAAGTCACTGTTGCTTGTTCTGGAATATTAAAACTTGTCTTTTGATGGAACGTTAGACTGACTTTGCGCAGAAGTAAATTATTCTTAAATCTTGCAGGTCCTTATTTATTTAATCATGATGAATTTTGCTTTGAAAAAATCACTCTTGTAGATTTTGACTTGTAAGATTAGGGATACTGTGACCTATCATTGGAGTTCAGGCAGTATTACCAAATTTTTCTCTTTGCTTATACCAACATCTAGAATGCTAAAAGCTCACATTACATGTATTGTTAAAGAAAATGTGAGTTTCTCTAATTAGGAACACAAGCATAGTAACCTTAAATAAAGGTCATATCCTTACAGGGAAACTTGTAATGAGGGTGACAAGTACATATCTGCTGAAACACAGCCTTCTGAACTGTACTATACAGAGATTGCTGGAACGATTCATAGGACTTTTGTTCACTTTTTTTTCCTGATTAATTCAATGATGGGTGAAGTTTGTTTTGATTTGTTTCTATTGCCCTGTGTGACATTTACCACATCTTTCATTGTTTCAAAGGATCTCCCAACTATCTTCTGATATTGGTAAAATTATTTTAATTGTCTATCTACATCGTTCCAATTGATTCTTAAAAATAAATTGTAATGTTGTAGAACAGATTCCTAGTGCCGAAAGTTCAAACCTTTAACAAATCAACATTTCCTAAATTTTCAATGAAAAGCCTTGTAAACCAAGGAGCTTTAACTGGAGTTGCCTTGCAATGTCAAATTCCTCCAGGGGTTTAACAGGCATTATGTTCTGATTTACAATTTTTATTGGTTTTAGGCGGAAATCTTTGTTTATACATATATGAAATATATATATTTCTGGTTAATTTTTAGTTCTAAAAATTCTTGGATGTGGAACCTACTACTCTTAATGTTCCATTTACTAGTCATGGATACCTTATTCTTTCATCATTTCTAATTGTCTCTTGCGAAGTTAAACATATTTCAGGTAAAAAATGTAAATTATTTTGCCTATACTGAATTTAGATGAATACATTGGATATATTTTTCTTTGAAAGTGTTCCCATGTGTTAGATAAGATCAAACTTGAGGTAAAAAAATGTTTCTTCGTGATGCTTTTTGTAGTGTATGCTTCTATACTATTATGCAGAACAATGTTGTTTTAAGCAGTTTATTTTCCCTTAATTTTATTCCACATTTAGATGTTTTTTACAGGAGGACATTTTTTTTTTTTTTCATTTGTGGTGATTTGCTTTATGCCCTTGATAATATGCAGGAACTATGCCAATTAAAATGTAGTTTTCATATTGCCTCTTGAAGGAATTGTTGAAATTTTTCAGTGCATCATATTAAAATGTTTCAAAAATTAAATAAATATTCACTTTATGAATTCAGTTTATTATTTGATAATGCTTAAGTTTGTATTGGAACACAGATTTGGGTTCCGTAATGCTACTTGAACAACTTATTTTCAAATTTGCTAAGCTGTAATACTAGCACAGTTAGTTTTACTTATGAAAGTTTTAGTTCTTACCAGTTTCAGCTCTCAGTTAGTTTAATTCTAACTAAAGCTAACTGCTGTTTTCTCGCAGCAGTGTCTATTAATTGTACATCTCTGCTATCACTTCAGATTCAGACAGATCTGTCCAGTTCAAAATATATGGTACACTTACATGGGGAATATCTGATGTCTATGTTTTGGTGTTTGGGGATCGGAGACTAAACAGGAAGATCTTCATGTTGCAGTCCAAGACTGCACAAGAGCCATCAAATGGAGAGAACTCTAGAAGTCCTGCAGGATAGTATTCTCTGACATTTCCAGCCCCAATTAACTTTGCCAAATCTTTAGCTCACACTGGACATTTGTATAGCCACCTGCAGAAAGAAGATCAAAGCTGTTTTAGACACAGGCTATCTTAGAGATTTCGGAGTCTACATGTCATGGAAGTTCAAAGCAACCGTAGCCAGCAGGGCACTGTGGTAGCATGCAGCTTCCAGTAAAAAAGAGCGAGCTGATGAGACTTAGTTCTGAAGTCTTTATGCAACTTTTCACTGTGCAGTGTACACATCACCTCTTTTTTTTTCAATAGGAGTTTAGAATATTGTCTATGTGTTGTCATTGATAAATTTCTCGCTCCTTTGCAAGGAATTATTGGTGTGTTGTTCAGCAAAGATTCAGCAAGGAAGTGCGTAATTTCTGCATTAATTCAATGGAAGTTTGTACAAGTTTGCCTAAAGTTTGAATGAAGCCATTTCACTTTGCAATAAAAGCAATGAGAAGCAGTCATGCTGCTATTTACTGCATGTCATCTGAGAATAGGTTTAAAGTCTCTTTAGTTTCTTTAGTTCAACCACTTGTGACTTTATCAGCATATCATGTCAGTCAACTATTTTTGAAAATGAGAATATAGACTAATTGTAGATAATCTCTTCTAATCACATTTTTTTTCTTTCCCAAAAAAGACTTCAGCATACTTCACCAATTGAATTCTGTATGACTTTCTTCAAAATCACTGCTTCAGAAAATTTCTTTTTCCTTTCTTTTTTCCATAATTCACTGTTCTAATCATTATGGAATTGTCCTAAATTTGCAGAAAGTCCTCCTTGATGTTTACAGCATTGTCAATGTTAGATTTCTGGGGAAGGAAGATTACAGTTTCAGTTTTTGCAAATAGTAAAAAGAAATTAACAAGTCCAAAGACAGTAGTATGAGGAGTAGGTGCCTAATATAAAGGCATAATAAATGGCAAAGAGATTAATAAAACTGTCAAACTTTATTAATTAGAAAGATGTCTTTTACAACGTTGTTATGGGTTATGAATATCTTCTATACTTGCAGAACTAACGTCTAGGAGTCAGGCCTGGCTGGAAGGTATTCTGTATGAACAAGATTCTTTGAGAAAACCAATCAAGAATAGAAACTTCATTAAAATGACAGGCTTTTTTCATCAGTCCCCTTCACAGCTGTCTTATTCAAAGGGTATGAGAATGATAGCTGACCTTCTGGATATAAAAATGACATTTAAAAATATGAATAAAGTACAAATTAATCCAGTTATAAAAGGAAAATACAGTATATCATTTCTTTGTCTTTGGTATTACTGGTTTGCAGTGATAACCTGTCCCAGCTGAAATCTGTAGGAATTCACTATTGATTTTAACTCAGCTAAATGTGCCATTTCCTGACATCAGAAAAAAAAAAAAACTGGCTGAAGTACTTAAAGTGTCTATTGTGAGGCTCTATTTTTGGGAACTATGCAAATAGGTTTCCTAAAGCATTCTAATCCAAAGCTTACATATTCTGGGCTTTATTTTAGTAATTGCTGTAAGTAGCTTTCCCTCACTGTAGTGGCTTGGATGTACGTTTGGGAAATGGGAAGGACAGATTTGAATTTGTGCAGGCTGAGAACAAAAGCATGTTTTTTTTTAATGGTTTTGAACAGATAGCCTAATTGGTGAGTTGTTTTGAAAAAAGTCAGGTATCATCAATGAGCTTAATAATTTACAGAGCGATGAAAGGTGATCTTACACATCAGGTAAACAGTTTCTTGGATAACCTGTATTAGCTGTATATAACTGAAATTTATATGCGCACTCAGTTGAAAACTAGATTTCTCCTTCATGTGAGCATGAAGAAGAGCATTAATAATAATTAGTGTTGATATCTCTACATGTCTGTAGTCCTATGCCTATCTGTGAATGCTGGACAAGGTTCTCTTTCATGATATAACAGCTGGAATACTCAGAGACATAATTAGTGCCTCTTAGAAAGCAGTATGATGTTAGTTGTATACATCATATGGATCAGATCTTTCTTGAAATATATGTATGTGGTTGGGAAGAATAGGCAAGAATTAACCCTAAGGTAATTTTCATTTTTCCTTTTTTTTTCCTTTCTTTTTAAGAAGTCAGATTCAAATATACTTAATTTCCTAACTCCTCTCCTTGGTATTGGGCCTCTTAAAGCATAGTGGCATATACACCAGACTATTTCCTTATGGAAACTTCTGTAAAGCTTTCTGCATTCTAATAAATAAAAGATTGAATTTTTCCTGGGAGAAGCTAAGAAAATATAATTATATTGGTTTAAAGCAGCTAAGAAGGAAAATAAAATGCCAGAATAGCATTTAAGGCTTTTTTTAAAAAATTTGTTTTTCTAGATTTTACAGTCCAGGAGTGCAGCTTACCACAAAACCATCAGTCAACAATGCATCTGTTTTCTCTCACTGTTTTTTTGCAAGATAGCACTTGTAACAAATAGAATGTCCCCAAAACAATTTTATCAGCTGATAATTTTTTTTTCTTCATGGCAAAAACTAGATTGATAAAGCTTTAAAAAAAAAATCTTCACAAGTCAGTGATACACAATGACTCAGAAAATTAGTTACACACAAGTCACTGAGAACAGAGATTAGCTGTTAAAGCATCAAATTCTAGCTGAGCACCTCCAGCACTTTCCACTAGACAGGTTAACTTCTGTTTACATCCTTACCTAGTGTGATAATCTGCAGAATTGCCTTTTTTCTGGTGTTTTTCACCAGAGATAGATTTATTTCAC